GGAAAGAACTTAATCCAGTGCTGAGAACTGTCGAATAGCCTCACTTTTATTTATTTTTTATTTTTTTAAGACTAGTTCTTTTTTTTTTTTTTTTTGTGAGGAAGATCAGCCCTGAGCTAACATCCGTGCTAATCCTCCTCTTTTTGCTGAGGAAGACCAGCTCTGAGCTAACATCTATTGCCAGTCCTCCTCCTTTTTTTTTTCCCCAAAGCCCCAGTAGATAGCTGTACGTCATAGTTGCACATCCTTCTAGTTGTGAATAGCCCCACTTTTAGAACTGAGGTTTTTATCAAGGATTACTGAGACCAGCACAATTGCTTAGAAAAACATAGTTTCTGATGATTTTTACTTTGGTGAAATTGTTGTTGCAATGTAACTGCAATATGCTTCAATTTATGAAATTCTAAGTTTATAAAATAGTGCTATTTATATTAGAAAAATACCAATTTCTGAATGTTTTCAAATAAGATCCCTTTATAGATTCAATTAATGCTTTTGGATTGATGTACAATTCCCATTCATGTAATGGAAATAAAATGTACTTTTAAGAATTGTGAGGATTTGGGCCCGCCCCGTGGCTCAGAGGTTAAGTGCGCGCGCTCCGCTGCTGGCGGCCCGGGTTTGGATCCCAGGCGCAAACTAACGCACCACTTCTCTGGCTATGCTGAGGCCGCGTCCCACGTACAGCAACTAGAAGGATGTGCAGCTATGACATACAACTATCTACTGGGGCTTTGGGGGAAAAATAAATAAATAAAACTGAAAAAAAAAAGAATTATGAGGATTAGAAGTAATGTATAGAAGTTCTCTGTGCTTAGCACATAGTGGGTGGACAATAAAATGTATGCAACATTATTTAGAATTGTATTCTTTTTATTCATTTAACATTTATTAAGCTCTTATCAAGTTCCAGGCAGACTGATAATTTCTTATTCGAAAACAAATCAACTGGTCAATATTTTGTTGCAGTTATGCGCTTTTTGGTCTTTATCTGTTATGTAATATATAACTTATCTTTTATCTATTATGTAATATTTAGTTGCTGTAGATCCAGACTTAAATTTGGAGCACAAAACTTTCAAACTTTTTCCAGCTTCTGGTGAAGCATGCTTATTTTCAATACATTTATTGTATTTTTTTTCTTTCTCTCTCTTTATATATACATACGCATGGGGTGAAGTAGTAAAATGGTTTTAGATAAGAAAACACCTATAAACTCTTTTCGCTTTTCATATGTGAAATGTTTCAACTTATCAACACCAAGATATATTAATTAGAAGGAGAATGCAATAAAGTTTCGATGCCTAAAATGTTAAAACTATGATTTCCGTTATTCAAAAGTATCTTTGAAGATTCCCAAGTATGAAACTCAAGTTTAGATATTTTCTTTTTGCCTATTTATTCCCTCTGCAACAATCCCAAGCAGACTGGCCTGTCCAGGGAAGAGAGGCACACTCCGTCAGCTCCGACCAGCTCCTAGAGTCTGTGGTTCTGTCTGTGGCTTTCGCCCCCATTTCAGGGGCAGTTGCAGTGTGGCACCTGTCAGAGCTGGGAAGAGCAGATGACACTGCTTCTGTGCCTGGCAGGAGCGTTGTATGGAGTACCAAGAGCTGTGGCCCAGGAGCCCTGGAGACCCAGAAAATGGCTCCACAGTACCTGCCTTTCTAAAGCTCATGGCATAAAACTAATGAACTAAGGCACTCTCTAGGGAGAAACGGAGAAGAATAAAGAGGGCTTTCTTTTGCCTATGGTATTTGCAAAGTTTAAGGAAAAACTGTTGTACTCTGTTGAAAAATTAAAGACAGTACAAGCCAAAAACGGACCAAATTTGTACAGGTTTGCTAATACTTAATATTTATTTTAGAAATTACATTAGTATTTAATGGGGAGAAATTGCCCCAGGGGAGTCAATTTTTTTTAACTCCAAGATCATTAAGTAACATTTTTAATCTCCCAGGGAAAAAAACACCAACATCTATATTGAAAAAAATAAATTTGTGTTAAGAATCAACAGTACTTTGTATTTTCTCTCAGGCATCTCGTTAATTTTTAGGTCTCTCCACGGGCAGGTTATTGCTCTTCTATTTTGTTGACATGTAGTGTTTATTAAGTGCTCACAGAGAGAAGAGTTTATAGAATATGGAAAAGCCTGTTCTTGAGGTTCCTATGTGCCTTGGAAAGTGGTAAAATACATGGACCCTAATTTCTTTTTTTGATATTTCTACATATCCTAAATTAAAAGCTTATAGAATTGCATGATGTTGTTTTCAGTTTTTTTTTTTAAAAAATGTTAGGACTAGTCTCATAATTACTGTTTCCTAGACTGCTGGGCAAATGAGGAAATTGATGATGTTTTCTTTCAAATCTGCTTGAAGCTCTTAGGGATCTTCCTTATGTAGTCCACTGTCAGAAGAGGGAGTTAACAAGGATTGGGAAATTAGTCAGCAATAGATGTACAGGGGCAAATTCCTTAGAGACTATCAGTTTCCTAGAAAATGTTGTTTTCTTTTGCCTGTGAGCTTTAGTAAGCACCCTTTAATGTTTTAAAATCGGCTCTAGGTGCCAAAAAAGACCCTCAAAAAGGTAAGCTCAGGGAGAAAATGGCTTCTACAGGTTAAAAAGTTGTTGCTTTTAAATTACATGAGGCACCGGCCCAGTGGCATAGTGGTTAAGTTTGCACATTCTGCTTCAGCGGCTCGGGGTTCACTGGTTCGGATCCTGGGTGCAGACCTATGACGGCTCATCAACCCATGCTGAGGTGGCATCCCACATAGAAGAGCTACAACTCTACAACTATGATATACAACTATGTGCTGGAGCTTTGGGGAGAAAAAAGAAAAAAGAGGAAGATTGGCAACAGATGTTAGTGTAGAGCCAATCTTCCTTTAAAAATATATAAATTATATGAAATAATTTTCCCCTAGATAATCTTTTAAAGAAACAACAAACCATGGTGCAGATCTGTTATGTTTTAATAAAAGAAATGTAAAACAGTAGGTTATTTACATTATCAAGAAGTTTTCTAAGACAGTACTAACTATATCCCTTTGTTATAATTAGCTCTCTAATAAATTTGAGGACCAAGAAGCTTAAAGAGTATTTGACTATTTTGCTTTTGATTAAAAAAAATTAAGAAATTTAGAATATTAAAGGAAGTTTAGTGTGTTGAAGGTTTCCTAAAATTAAGGGTAAACTAATATTTCAAATACACTTAAAAGAAAGAGTTGAATGTGTACTTTTTAAAGGCTTCTAAAATAATGTTTCCTCTAATATGCCCTCTTCCTATTACATGCTTTCGTGGTGAGTGCTTTTAGAGTGCCATCTAGTGTCAAGTTTGGAATTGTGATTTATGGATTAGCGTGTGGGGAATTTAGACCCGGGAAACGTATAAATCAAAGACTTGTGATAGTTGACAAAAGTCTTAAGGACTATGAATTGAAAATACCTATCAATAATTTGACCTTAAAAATGTGTATGTTTGCATCTTTAAAATAACCAGTGTATATATTCATCCACACACCCATTCAACAGACACTTCTTGATTATATGCACATATATGTAGATAGCGGGCCCTGTTTTAGGCATAGCAGTGAGTGAAACAAAATTTCTACTCTCATGGAACATTTTAGTTGGGGGAGACTAAATAAATATACAGCATGTTACAACAGTGATAAGTGCTGTGAAGAGAAGCATAGAAGGGGAGAGAGGTTTTTTCAGGGAAGATGGAGTTGGGGCTCACAATTTGAATACAGTAGCCAAGGAAGATGGCAGTTAGAGGTTGATATGTGAGTAAATACCTGAAGGAGATGAGGGAGTTTACCAGGCTCTGGAAATAGCCAGTGCAAAGGCCCTGTGGTAGGAATGTACCTAGTGTTCTAGAGGAATTACAAGCCACTTTGGCTGGAGCAGTGGGTGATGAGGAGAGTTAAGATGAACTCAGAGACACAGAAAGAAGATTAGATCAAAGAGATCTTCATAGGCCATTGTAGGAACTTTGCCTTTTCTCTGAGTAGGATGGGAAGACGCTGGAGGGTTTGAGCAGAGTGGTGACATGATCTTCATTTTTGACAGGATCCCTTTGGCTGCTTTGTTGAGAATAGACTGCAGGGGGAGGGAGGATGGGAAGCAGAGTAAGGAGGCAGTTGCTGTAATTTGGAAGAAAGGTGACGGCTCCTTGGATCACAGTGGAAGCAGCGGAGATGGTGGAAGTGGTCAGATTCCAGACATATATTGAAAGCAGACCAAAATAAGTTGTTAACAGACTGCTTGTGGAGGTGGAAAGGAAAGAGTAATTACAAGTGACTCCCCAGGTTTTTGGCCTGAGTAGCTAGAGGGATGGTGTTCCATTAACAGAGGGGAAAGATACCTGAGGAGCAAGTTTTGGGGTGGGGGAGAATAAGGAACTTAACTTGGAACATGTTAACTTTGAGATGCCTCAGCTATCAACATCTAAGTGAAGGGGAAATTCGAATATTTTTCTTTTGTGATTCAGCATGCAATAGCTCATCACATATCAAAACCCATTTACTTCAGGGGAATCCATTTCTCATGGAGAAATGAATATTTCCCCCCAATTATTATATTGTAGGGTCGTAAAACAGCAGTGTGTGAGGACCACCATTGTCAAATCTTCTCAGGGCTGTTATCCCCAGACAACTCTCAGTATGTTGGTTCTTATTTCCTATTTTATTCATGTCTTGTTCTCACCTGTACTGAGCCCCAGAGTACTTGATTGGGAGAGTTCTGTTGCAAAGCTCCTGAGGCATGCTCATTTTAAAGGAGCTGGGTGTAAAATCACCCCTAAGACCAGTTAATTGCACAGGGTGGAAATTTTTCTTTTGGAAGTCATTTATTCAGTCCAGGAACAAATCTTGTGGAATCTTATCTATCACAAATCCTTGCTGAATTCTAGACAGGCTTTTAAAATATTCGTCTTTTATGTAAGCTTCTAAATATTTATATTCTAAGGCCTATAACCACTTCAGTTTATGCTTCAGGTGACCCAACGCAAGAAGAAAATGAAAGGCATTAAGAAAAATCTTACAGAAGAACATCTATATCTGGACTTTTCTCACCAAGTAGAAGGATGCATCTTTCCTCTTCATACATCTGTAACTTTATTTTTGTTATCATATTGTGACTGCAAAATCTTTAAAGTTTGCTTAGTCCTTACTGCAGAAAGTACAGATATTTCACTACTTAAAAATGTACTGTCCCAGGATGTTGAAGTACAGATTATTTCAAGGCAGGAGCTTCCACCGATAGTCCAGAATTGCTGTTTACCTGCAGTAGTAGAAAGACCAGACAATTTTTGTAGAGCAGGACTTGCTGTTGTACTGAGACACATAATCCAGAAATCACATGAAGCAGACCCCTCAAAGAAGGAAATCTTGGAACTTCTGGGTTTTAAGAAGACTTGCTTGAAAGCCTGTGCTGAAGTAAGTATAATGTCTCTTTTCTGTTATTTAAAGCCATATAGCGATAACACATTCATCTGAACATTTATTTTAACTTTCTACTGGAAACTAAAATTTCATTTACTTAAAAGCCCTACAGTAACCAATGCAATACTAGTTAAGTAGCCCATTGTGTATGCCAATATTTCAGTGCAGTATTGGACAAATAAGAATTTAAAATTTAATTTGTGAGGTTTGGAGACATTATTTCTAGCCTATGACTTCTTTTTTATTTTAATTGCATTGAGGATTTTTAAAGGGAACTTTCTCATATGAACAGGAGCTCAGGTAGCAGTGCTTTGGAAACCTGCTTCTTTAGGGATAGTGTGCTCTAAAGGCTGTGGGCATGAGGGTTTATTCAGTAAGGATGCAGGAGAGCATGTGTTCCAGATACAGGAATGCTAAACCTCCATTGTTTAATGTTAGCATTTCTGAAGCACTGTATGTGCTCTTGTGTCTCTGTTTGTGCTCAATGTGTCTCTTGATACAGCATGAAAGCCTAGCCCAGGGATGGTTTAGCTCAAGACTTAAATTTTCTAACCCAGTCTTATTTCCCAATAGAAAGTTATTTTTCTTCAAGCTATGTTGAAAGTAAGGAATCCTAACATTTCTTGTTTTGTTTTGTAGGTTAGTCAGTGGACCAGGCTGTGTGAACTCACCATCCCTTTAGCTATTGAGAATTTTCTCAAAGAATCTTGTGACCAGCACCCCACTATCCCTGCAGAAATACTACAGCTGGAGAAAAAGCTCAGCGAGCCTGTGAGAGTGCACAACGATGACAAACTCCGTCGGCAGAAGCTGAAGCAGCAGAAGGCTGCTGGAGCGGGGCCTGCCCCTGCCCAGGAGAAAGCGAAGGGCCAGACCCACAGACAGGAAGCGCTGGAGGAGCTGGACTCTTCGTTCCGGAGCCTGGAACTAAAAGTGGCCTTCTCAAAGTTCACGGTGCAGGAAGACCCAGCTGCTCCCAACAGGGAACCTTCTCACATCAGAAGGGCGGGCACTTCCGCCCTTCCTCCCCTGGAGCACGTCTTTGCAGAGGGCCTGTACTTCACTTTGGCGGACCTCGTGCTCCTGCCCTGCATCCATCACTTTTTGGTAAGGCCCATCTGGAGTGGGAATGTCACTCTGTTTCAGTGCATGAAAGTGCTGAGGCTGGGTCTGCTTCTTACTGTCATTCTGCTCCTGGGCAAGTTGTTAACATCTGTCTCCATTTTCTTCTCTGTAGAATAGAGATGATAATACTACTATCTCATAGGGTGGTGTGAGGATAGAGGGCAGTTTGAAGTGTGGTGAACAGTGTTGGCACACAGTAAGCTCTCCGTAAACATTAGTGATTATTATGACCTTTAATCTTGAGTTGCTAAAATGTAGCAATTGTTATGATTAGCAATTTCAAATTGCTGTTGTGATTACCTTCTAATATTAGAGGTTCCAGTGTTAAAACACTAAAAAATCTTGTCAACTATATTTTGTAATTAAATAGTCACTTGAAATACTAATTTCATTGTTAGGTATTATCAAATCAGAAATATTTTATCCTTATCTGTGTGCTGCTCTGTTCTCCATAAGATTACATGGGAAGTTTTCTTTCCTAGTAGAGGGATAGATAGATATATCCCTCCCTCCCCCCATGTGGAGGAAAAAAGAACAGGGTGAAAATATATCAAAGTGAACATGGGAAGCTATAGCTCTTTGCAGCTTTCCAGTTGGTTTTCAAGAGCTGCATTTTTCTTGCTTTGAAGTATTTCACCTTTTCCCATGTAAAGAATCAGATGTCAGATTTCATTCTCGTTGTATGTCACCAACACTTCAGGTATCTATTGACAGATGAGAAAAGACTTCTAATGGAAATCTGTATATTTGGAGGCCGGTGCTTCACTAATAAGTTAGATGATCAATCAGTTGGCATTTTCTTAAAGACCATTTCTCTTTTCTTCAAAATAGAAACAAAAAAAGATTGGAAACCAAAATAACTTCAGAATTAAAGGATGTAAAAGAGAGAGATTCAGGGATTGTTGAGATGTTGGTTAGTGTTTTAAATGTTGTATGTATTCATAGTGTCCATGGTGCTGGGTGGGAGGAAAACTCAATTTTTTTTTTCTCCTAGTCGGATGATTTCTACATTCTCTTATCTCTGAGCCCTCCCCTTTATTACCAACTCAGTCATTAGAGCAGTCAGTTGATACATATTGTGAAATAGTGTTGGTGTTCATGGCTTCTTGGTCTTCTTGGATAACTGTTTCTAATTTCATAAGAATTGAGTCAAAGTGGCACAACCGTTAATTCATTCAAGAAATTTATCGAAAGCCTACTGTATATGCCAGACACCGTTGTAGGCACTAGGAATGCAGTGATGAACAAGGCAGATGAGGTCCCAGCCCTCAGGCAGTTAATATTCTAATAGGGGAAGATGGAAATGAACAAGTAAGCAAAAAATATGTATTTAAATATGTTAAGTGCTACAAAGAAAATAAAATAAGGTGATAGAGAAGACAAGTATTTGCTTTCAAACTCAATGAAATATAAAAAATTGGATTCACCTCCGAGAAGGTGCTTTTTGGATCATTATCCAGACATCCATCTTCAGCTAGTTTGCATTTGATTTAGCTTAATTTAAATACTATTTACCCGATTAGTAACTGAGAGGATTTTTTCTCCTCTCCACTCAGATAGGACATCTACCTGACTACTACTGAGTAAACCTACCTAATACACTGAGGAACTTGGTTTAAAATAGGAGAAAATGTGTACACACAGCCTTTTCTAGTACATGTATTCTATGATTAAATTCTTCTCTTTTGACGTTTATATGTAAACTCATTCTCAAAATATTTTCCTTTCTTTGTATTTTTCTTGGATCTGCACATTTTCTTTCAGGAAGTAGTTTTCTTTGCCAAAGCCTTGGTGTTATTTCTGTTATATTTATTTTCTTCCTTTAAGTCATCTTGGCTCAAGAAGCAGTCGTTTTAGTTCGGATAGCAGCTGTGATGCCAAGCCCTGTGCTTGCATTGACACACATGGAGGTGATGGAGCGGCAGTCCAGACGACCAGAGTCAGGATCCACTTCAAGATCAGGGTCAGAAACACAGAGCTGAACCTAGAATATAAAAGAGCAGTCAATTTTGCTAAGTCGAGTTTTGGAAAACCAGGGGTCAAAATTAGAAGACTTTGGGAAAACACCCAGTTCTGCTGAACAGAAAAAAGTCAAAGATGCAAAGCAACAGCAGGTAGAGTGGTGAGGTGTTGAGACCTGCTCCAGGCGTCTCGTCCTCTGCCCAGGGTATTAGAGCGCAAAGTCACCCTCTGAGGGCCCAGCACTTCTTCACGGCAGGTTCCTGACAAAACCCTCCCCTCTGGAAAGTTTTAGAAATCGATTAAAAAGGAATAAACTAAAATGCACACTTCTCATGACTGTCCCTCCTTTACTTTGCTAGAATCTTCTAGTATATGGTATAGCGGCAACTGGGAGCAATGGCAGTGGGTGGCCACCCCGGGCACTGTCCTGCTGCTCCCTCATAGCAGACAGCTGGGTGGTCATCCTGGTGAGCAGGTGCACTTTTCTGGGTGACTCCACTCCTGTAAGGTGGGGAAGGTGCCATTGATGAAGTCTTTTTCTAACTGGAACACTTTGACTTAATATTCTACATTTTAATTTCTAATGCTTAGAACTGAGTTTTTAAAGGACGACTCATTGATTGCTAAAGTAAAATCATTGTAGAAATTGATTTTTGAGCAAAAATACTTATATCAAACAACTCTGTCAGTGTCCTCATTGACATAAAATAGGGAATAAAATGGAGATCTCACTACTGGCTGGCATATTGCAAAAATCATGGATGCCACTCGAGTGGTTAATTTGTATTTTCCATGTCCTCTCCTATGCATTAAGTCCTGAAGGGTTTTCGGTTTCAACCCACCAGTTCTAATCTCTAAGTGAAAAACACAAAACTGGGATGCTATTTCCATTGAGATAAGTTATTTACTATTCTTTACCCTGTTTGCACTGCTCACCCATACGTTTGTTAGTTATGATACGGTTTCGAAAGAGTAGACATGACTAAGGAAATGATGCAAAATAAGAAGAAAATATTTTGTATGTTGAATGATACGTAAGTAATGCAGAGGAGGAGACGTTGTGGATAAATGTAACATCTTGCTTCTCTTTTGATTCAGACAAGTTTTTCTGCCCCTTATTACAGTTAACTGCAAAGCCAGGAGGGTTTTATTTTGTGTTCTTGGTAGCAATAATTTTTTACTGTTGCTTTAAGAATAACTTCTCTTATTTTCTTGTCCTTAAGTAACTGTGATATTTATAATGGTTTTGATATTATCAGCCAGGTAACTTTTTTTTTTAAATCATTTCTAAGGAACAGATTTAATTTTCATCTCACATTTTTCATTAGCCACTTCCTTAAGTATATCTTCTTGAGTGTAGTGAATGTGGTTCGGTACCTCCTGAGCTGTCTGGATGTTAGTAGAGCCACCTGGCATAAGTGGGATGACCTGTCGTGAAGAGTAAAACTCTTCAATTTCTTTTGAACATGAATTATTGTTACTTAATCACAGCTTATTTTCAAAAGGAAGGACAGATGCCATGTGCATCTAACAAATAAGAGTAAGTCGCTGCCAAGGAGGGTAAGGCAAGTGAGGAAAGGAGAACATTTCGTATTTGATTAATTTATCGTGGCTTAACCAGAATTCCCTTAACACATAATCTGTTTCCGGGCAATTAAGAATTTTGGTGAGAATTATAAACTTTATGGCTCCCAGGGTAGTACCATTTAGACAGTGTTTTTCAAACTTTTAAATTTCACAGTAAATAATGCATTCTATAAGATGACTGAGCAGACAAATATACATCTTTATATTATATATTTAAAAACATATAAATACTTGCAAAATAACCCACCTGACTAGATGCTGTGTACTCTGATATTTTCTATTTTATTTCATTTTTTAAAAAAATCTAGGGGCCGGCCCGGTGGCGCAAGTGGTTAAGTGCGCGCTCTCCACTGCGGCAGCCCAGGGTTCACCTGTTCGGATCCCGGGTGAGCACCGAGGCACTGCTTGCCAAGCCACGCTGTGGCAGCGTCCCATATAAAGTGGAGGAAGATGGGCACAGATGTCAGCCCAGGGCCAGTCTTCCTCAGCAAAAAGAGGAGGACTGGCAACGGATGTTAGCTCAGAGCTGATCTTCCTCACGAAAAAACAAAAATCTACTGTGGGGGCCGGCTTGGTGGCATAGTAGTTAAGTTTGTGCGCTCAGCTTCGGCAGCCCGGGGCGCAGACCTACACACCGCTTATCAAGCCATGCTGTGTCAAGTGTCCCACATGTAAAGTAGAGGAAGATGGGCACAGATGTTAGCCCAGGGCCAGTTTTCCTTAGCAAAAAGAGGATTGGCAGCAGATGTTAGGTCAGGGCTAGTCTTCCTCACCAAAAAAAATCTGTGTTGATTTCACAACCTCTTAATGGGTCATAAACCGTAGTTTGGAAAATGCTAATTTAGGGGATTATTCCTTGAGATTAACAGATGGTTCCTTGATCATTTGTTCGTGCACTCAACAGAGTGAACATTTTTTGCAAAGCAGTATTTTAAGTGCTTGCAGTATACAAAGAGAGTTAGACATAAACCTTGCCCTTATAATCAATTACTTGTGCTTATTTAACGTTCAAGTCCAGTTAAAATAGAGTAAAATATATATGTGTGTGAGTATTTCATTAATTTTCTGGCTCCTGCTTTGATACTGATTATTGCTAGATATATTGGTAGAGATTTTCTGTGACTTGACCTTTTTACTTATCTCTCTGTTCATAATCATAAGACATAATCTGTGACGTTATAACTGTTTCTATGGAAACAACATTCAGTGCCTCACAAAGAAGCAAGAACATTCTGATTTTTAATGAAATTGAAGTTTAGTGGTGGTGCTAGGGAGAAAGCATCTGATCAAGAGAAAACAAAAAAAAATTAATTTACATTAGGAGTAATGGTTTCAAATTTTTCTAATTTGAATAAATAAAAGCCTTACTTTAAGGGCTTCGTCACAATAAAAAGAAACTACTGATAAATGCAGCTACGTGAATAAATCTCGAAAACATGAAGCTACGTGAAGAAAGACACACATTTCATGATCCCGTTTATGTGAAATTCTAGGAAAGATAAAATGATATGCATGGAAAGCAGATCTGTGATTACGTGCAGCTGACAGGGGAGCAAAGGTGGACTGCAGATGGTCACAGGGGACTTTCTGGTGTGATGGTGTTCCAGGACTGGAGGATTGTGGTAGTTGCACAACTGTATAAATTACTAAAATTCGTTGTTTGAACTGCACACTTAAAATGTGTGAATTTTATGATATGGAAAGTTACTTTGATATAGCTGTTGTGAACAAAACAGATATGTATAGTAATGGGTTTTGTTCTTTGCCCGCCTAGGTAATTATCTGCAGGAAACTTTCTGAAAGGCTGGTAGAATTTCCACTGCTGGCCGCCTGGTACCAGAGAGTTCAGGAGGTGCCAAGAGTGAAAACAGCAGCTTCTCGCTGTGGGATCCAGTTTCTCCGTTTACCAGAGTTGCCGACCACCCCCAGCGAACAGCACCCAAACGTCAGCGAGACCCCTGGGGCAGAGGAGCACAATGACCCTTCGTTTATAGGAGGCCCGAGACCAACTATGACCAAGTTAATGGTACTAAAACCGTTTTTATTAACATTTTCTTTGCAAAAGTCCATGTCACAATGTTGCCGAGCATTCCACCCCAACTTGTAATCATTTATTGACATTGTTTTTGTTATAAATTTTATTTGTAGCTATCTTATATCACTCGACCAATTAATATTTCTGCTAGTCTTTTGTATTTATGTGAGATATAGTAAATTGAAGATTTTTAATATTGTTTGTCTTTAGAGCCAAATAAGTCAGAATATATATTTTTGAATAGTATTTTTCTTAAAACTTTTCTTTTTATATTCAAGACACTGAAGTCATATTACACCTGGTCAGATTTATTGTTTTTAACCTGATGTTTTTCTGTTGCAAAGATTTGGTCTCAGTTCTTTAATTTTGAGATGATGATTTGAATTACAGAAATATATAGATGAATATCTCAATTTACTTTCCAAAGTTTTGTCTAAATTTTAAGATTTTTTAATTCTTTGAATTTTGTTTTGACTTTATTCTTTGATTTTAATGCCTTTTTATATGGTAAGAACACATATGATTTATTTTTCTCTCTTTGCAGCATAATTTGTTTCTAACAGTACTAATTGTAAAAATTTTCACCAATAAGTTTTCTTTTCTCTACCATTCAAAACAATGTACAAAAATTTTTTGCTTTTAACCTAGACTATTTGAAGATTTATTTGAACAAAGAATTCATAAGTAATTTGAGCTATTCATCTGAGTTGTACTGGAAAACTATTCATTGTATTTTCCTACTTGGGTTAGGAAGTATTGTAGTTCTATAGTTAACAGCAAGTTTGCTGATTTAGAAAAAAACAAGAAGATTTTAGTAGTGACACCAGTCCCTTAGCTCTTCAGCTAAGCTTTGTGGTAGCCTAGTGATGAAATAATGAAACAGGATTATATAGTTGAGTTTAGAAGATATCAAAGCTTGTCCAAAGTTTGATAAGTCTTGATCAGATAGTTAACTGTACAGAGATCTCTCATTCATCTCCTGAGTGTTTTTAAATAAATAATCAGGAGAGTAATCTGCTTTGTATTAAAATACTAATTTTTAAAATTTCAACAAACCGAGATTCTGTGCTTTTAATTCACGTTTATGCAGAGTCTTGAAAGAAAGATTGGTATTCAGATTTTTCTATCTCTGGTTTTCCAGCAATAGAATAACATTAGGAAAGACATTTGCATTTTATACATTTGAAAATATTTATAAACAAAGAGATAACTAAAAGTTAAATTCAGAAAAAGTCAATAAATAATGTAAAAATAAGCCCTTTTATAATACTATAAAAAATATATAGGAATCCTGAAATTTTTAATTTAAGGGGATGTGTTAGTTCAGGTCCTCTAAGAAGCAGACCCTAATATGGAGTTAGATGTGCAAGAGGTCTGCTGAGGGAAACGTCTCTGAGGGAAAGTGGGGAGGGAGCCAGAGGAGGCTGGGAGAGCCTTAGGCCGTGAGGCAAGTTTGACCCCCGTGCCTGAGACAGGAAAGGAGGGAAGGTTGGGTCAGAAAAGTCTTAGACTTCAGTATAGTTCTAAGAAAGTTTTGGCGAGCCAGTGGGGAATCCTTGAGCTGGAATCATCTGTGAGAGAGTTCCATGTTTTTCAGGAATGGGTCTGCTACTCTCAGTCGTTGGCTTGGGAGCAGTCCATGGGAACACTATGCTGGGGACCAGGTGACAGGTCTTGTCCCAGCTTTGTAGCTCAGCTAACATTGCCTCCTGTCTTTCAACCAGAGGGTCTCAATTTCTCCATTTATGAATTAGGAGAGTGAAGTAGACCTTCTGTACGATTCATTTCTGATTTTAAATCTTATGATTGTATACAAGTTGAGTGGGACGTTACATCCACAATTTTTTAGAAAGGAAGAGTTCAAATCTGAAAATGTTAAAATTTCAATTTTCATTTAATTTAACTTGATAGTATATATCAGATACAATAATTTTTCTTTTTATTTGTTTTGTTTTTTGTTTTTTGTGAGGAAGATGAGCCCTGAGCTAACATCTGTTGCCAATCTTCCTCTCTTTTGCTGAGGAAGATTGGCCCTGGGCTAACATCCGTGCCCATCTTCCTCTACTTTATGTGGGACGCCTGCCACAGCATGGCTTGATGAACAGTGCTTAGGTCCACGCCCGGGATCTGAACCTGTGAACCCCAGGCTGCGAGAAACAGCACATAAACTTAACCACTACACCACTGGGCCAGCCCTGACAGGGCATTGTTTTTGCTACTGACTAGTGAATTTCTCTATTGACATATATTTTGAAAGACAATGAGTATTATATCAAATTAATGTATTATATGAATGTATTAATTTTATTTATACTGTAACTTTTCATTTCTGTATAGTTACAGTATGTTCTGCCAATTACATGAGGACACATGAAAGTGGTGCTGAGTGGATGCCTAAGATAGGAAGGTTTTTCTTAGGAACATGCACATCTCACCTTTTTTTTTTTTGGTCTGTTTTCTTTGACACAATCTTGCCTCCAAAATTTCCCTTATTCTCCAGAGGTTTTAAATTTGTTTATTCATTCAGTCAGTTAAAAAAAGTCCACATATCTCCTAAACCCCAGGCATTGTTCTGAATGTTGGCTACATGAAGGACAAATTGGATTGCCCTCATAGAGCTTAGATTCTGGTGTGGGAGGTAAACAAAGGAAAAACACCAATAAATGTATAACACATTAGGTAATGATAAGGCTGTAAAAAAATAACATGGGATGAGGGGGTGGAGGTGATGGAGGTCGGATCCCTTGTAGATAGGGTGGTAAGGAAGGCTTATCTGACGAGGTGAAGACGTTGAGCAGATAACCTGAATGAATATTTGAAGATTTGGAGGAAGTGTCTAGGCAGAGGGTCCAGCTATAAAAAGACCCTGAGCAAATCTATAGAGACAGAAAGTAGATCAGTAGTTGCCTAGGGCAGGGAGTTGAGGGGAGAATGGAGAGTGTCTGCTAATGGGTATGGGGCTTCTTTTTGAGGTGATAAAAATGTTCTCAAATTAGATGGTGGCTGTGGTTGCACAACTGTGAGTATTCTACAAACCATTGAATTGTATGCTTTAAAGAGGTAAATTTTATGGCATATAAATTATATCTCAATGTAGTGGTATTTTTAAAAAGACCCTAAGGTAGGAATGAGTTTGGTGAAATGAAGTTCAGTCCAGCTAGACTAGAATAAGGGAGGTAGAGAGGTATATGATGTTAGAGAGATGTGTTCCTCTTTCTGGATGCAAGTTAAGAGCTCTAGACCACTATACCTATAGATACATCTCTGCCCCAATAAAAGAATCTCTACACTCCTTCCTTTGGGACTGGGAATTCAGCTAGTTTTCATAATGGAAAGTAATCTCATGAACTAACTGATACAAGGGGTTAATGATAGATTCTCAGGGATTTTTCTTTTGAATAGGATATTCCTGAAGATAAAAATACCTGAACCATGGATATTTATCCTGTGGGCTGTGAACACAGAATGTGATTGGAAGGGATCTGGGAATCCATGTGTATGCCATGCCACTGTCTGTAGATCAAATAAATAAATGCACAACTTTTAATATGGGGAAGGAGCCTGAGAGTTTTTTTATATATTGAAAAGTGGTCATAATTTTTGAAAATGTTGGGAACCATTTGGTTAAAACAAAGGGATCCTTTTCTAGAGACATTGCAGGCACTTGTAAAAGACTGGTAAGGATGATATTTTTGGGTGTATGTCAAATTGAAGGCTTTTTGGTCCTGTAAATGTAGCTCCTAGGCTGTGGGGGGATTTTCACATATGTAAAGACAGACCTTAATGGGCATATATGTAGAGTCAGTTTTTGATTACATGGATTGTTTTTGATAAAACTTTTATCCTCAGGTGACTTTTCTGTTTGATGCCCAATAAATTTCTAGGTAGCTTATTACTTCTATATAGTTTCAGGTAATATTAAAACATAGCATCAATTTCTTTTATCTCAGTATAAAAAATAATAGAAAAGTAACTTTGCTGTCAAAAGCTCAACACTGTTATCATATTTCTTTTGTAACTAAATATTTTGAGGAATACGTGATGATTGTTAATATTTATCTTCCTCCTCACCACTATAGAAAATAGAAATTTGGCCTTCTAGAACATAACAGGAGTTTATTAATTCATTCATTTGGAAAGGGCCTATTTCCTTTTCTAGGAAAAGGGCATTGAAGTGATGTTTTCTCCCCACCCTTGCCCTGCTTGGACCCTTGACTGGAATAGTCTTCCTGCAGCAGTGAGCCCAAAAGAAGGTGAGTATTCTTTTCTCCTTACTCATAATCTGGATCCCCTCTTCAGATCCATCTTCCAATTCTCTAATTCTCTCTTGGACTATATCTAATAGTCTGTTATACTATCCATTGAGTTTTCATTTTATTTTTATTATAAAAATTTTGTATATATACATTACTCAGATTTAATATTTTACACACTTTTCTACATTTGCTTCATCTATTCCCTTCTTTTTCTTTGCTGAAGTATTTTGAAGCAAATTCCAGATATGTCACAGTATAGTACACACATCTGAAGAATATTGACATCCTAAATAATCACCATGTCATTATCACACCTAATAAAAATTAACAAAAATTACTTGATCCTCTAATAACTAGTCTGTAATCATTTTACCCTATTGTTTAAAATATTATTTGAAAAAAAATTTTTCGTAGTTAGGTTTTTAGTTAAATAATTATATTTTTAATTGCTAGAAGTTATATTTGGTTTGTTTGTTTTGGTAATAACCTTTTCCTTGCTTGTTTCAGTTTCCTCTTTTTATAATTTTTTGAATATAGTTATTTTATATTCTGTATTATTTCTAATAGCTGATGTCCATAGAGGTCGTCTTCTGCTGTTTGTTTTTTCTATTGACTTCACTCCTGGTGTCTTATTTTCCTATTAGTTTGTAATTTAAGATTGTGAATTCATTTTGGGGCTACCTAAATTTGTGCAGATCTTGCAGGGCCTGGGTTGGGAGTAATTCCCATAGAAAGGATTTATATTTGCTTATGCCCGACATCTCAAACTACTAGAACTTAAGACCATTTAACATTAGTTTTTCAGGTTGAGATTCCTACAACCTTTTCTATCTGGAGCTGAGGTTTAAACAGACAAGTTACCTTTTATCATCTTCCTTTGCTATTGAGTGGGACTTTTTTTTTTTTGTGAGGGAGATCAGCCCTGAGCTAACATCCATGGTAATCCTCCTCTTTTTGCTGAGGGAAACCGGCCCTGAGCTAACATCTATTGCCAATCCTCCTCCTTTTTTTCCATTTTTCTCCCCAAAGCCCCAGTAGATAGCTGTATGTCATAGTTGCACATCCTTCTAGTTGCTGTATGTAGGATGCGGCCTCAGCATGGCCGGAGAAGTGGTGCGTCGGTGAGCACCCGGGATCTGAACGCGGGCCGCCAGTAGTGGAGCGTGCGCACTTAACCGCTAAGCCACGGGGCCAGCCCCAGGACTTTTTTTTTTATTGCATCTTTTCATAGCTTTTCACAGTTTCTGCATTCATGTAATGATATTGGTTCTAACTCTCCACCATGCTAGGGATCAAGGACCAGCCTCTCCTCTTTGTCTCGCTGTTCAACCATCCATCCCTATTATTAGCAAACACCCTCCTGGCAGCTGTGCTGTCAGTTCAGGATTATTACACTGCTTTCAGTTTCTTTTCTCCTTTTTAAGGCCCTATGGATTTTCCTTACTCTCAGAAATCCATTTAGACATGTACAGGATGATTGTTGAATTTTAAATACCATTTTAGGCATTTTTAGGTGGAGAACTTTTTTATAGCTCGGTGTTCTGTTTCTTTAATTGTTCACCTATTCTTTAGTTTTATAGTAAGCCAAATATAACTTGATTTTCAAACGCTCTTTGCCTTCCTTTTTCATATTCTTCTCTTCTGTGATGCTTCCCATTCTATTCGATTCTGTCAATCAAGGGAATAATTTAGGATTCTTCCAGAATGGAAGATTATGTTGGGCAGTTAAGAACTCTGCCTCAAAGATATTTTATAAAAATGAAATTTATTTTTTTGGTCTTTAAATATATGAAAAATAGTCACTAATGAATTTGTTAATGTTTATATTTTAAGTATTTTCTGACATTTTGAAAAATTTAAGTGTTTGTTTTTATTGTACTTGTAATTGGATTTTTGGTATACTCTTCAGTTGTATAGATTTTGAACAGGTTGAAACTATAGTTTCATAAAAATCAAGTTTTCATTAATATTTATATTTATCAAGAAATGAATACAGAGTTTTCTACATGCCACGTATTTTGCTTTATCCATAATTAATTTACTATGAAGCCAAAATAATATTTTGACTTATTAATTGAGCAATCAGTTACATCTGCTCCCAACTCAGAGATGTGACATTAAGCATTCGTGCCTGGTCGCTTTCCTGGTTAGATGTGCATATCTCACAGCTCATAGAATCTGTTACTCATTCTATCCCTTGAATTGGATCACCTTGTTTTCATAAATATTATGACAAATAAGGAGCTACATGGTTTACTCACATTTCATTCACTATTTCTTAAAAAGTTTATAGTCTTTGTTAAACTAAGGCAGAATGGTGGCATTTTAGACTTTCTGTTTTCAATTCTGGTAGTTTCAATTTTGCATGGTAATAGAATCTTTGTGAGATGAAATTATTATACATAGAGGTGTGGAGTGTTGTCATGATATGTGTTCTAGTACTGCCTTTTAGGAGAGATTGAATTGTAATAAGATTTTATTGGTACTTGGTTCACTTGGATGTCACAAAGACTGACTCCTTATGCTGAATCCACTAAGATACCACCAAGATTGCACCATCCACCGTCGAGATTGTGGTGCATATTATGAGAATCATCCTCATTACTAACAAAGGCTGTGTTAATCCTCATGATGGAGTCTACTATATTTCTTTAGCCTGTCTAATCTCCCACCCTCTGCTCTCACTCATTTCTTTCCCCACACCCTACATACCATTCCCTGAACTTTTCTGTTTCCTTATACAACCTATGTTTACTATCTCCAGGCATTCACTTTTATTTTTCCTCCAGCCTTGAATATTCTCCCTCCTGCTTCCCCTTTTATTGAAATTATACTCATCTTTTAAGGATCAACTCAAATGCTGCTTCCTTCGTTAAGCCTGCTGCATGGGCTATGGAGTCAGCCTGCCTGATTTGAAACCTGGGCTACTAACTCACTAGGTTACCTGTGGCCAGACTCTCAACTTCTCTGTGCCTCAGATGCCTCATCTGTAGAATGGGAAAGATAATAGTACCTACCTTATGAGATTGTTGGTGCATTCAATGAATGAATATATAAAGCGCTTAGCACAGTGCCTAGTAAATAGTAAATGTTAAATAATACTAAAATAGTAGTCAGAGTTAACTACCCCCTCTCAACATTCCTTTAGTACTTCCTTGTACTGCATTTTTGGTGTTTATAGTATGCCTCTCTTACACTATAGTTACTTATATGCATGTTTTCCTTCTCCCATGGACTGTGGACTCTGAGTATGGGACCCTGTGGATAGGGCCTCAGTCATTTTTTATTAAATTGAATTGAATTGAGACTACAGATCCTTTTTTTAACTTCCCAAATTTCTACTTACACCAGGCAACTTTTTGAATTCTTTTGTTTCATATAGATTTAAAAGGCTAAAACAATTGAGACTATTTAGTTTGAAGAAAAAAGACCTGAAGATGTAATTCGCATCCTCATCGTTGTTGTTGTTGTATTTTCTATGGACTGTTAGGAGTAAGTAGCAGATATCATGCTGCCTCACTTCTAAATACCTAACTTGTGCTTTAAGAGCAGGAACGTTTTCTTACACAGCCATAGTATAATGATCAAAACAGGATATTTAATTCAGTACATACTGTTAGTCGATAGTCCAGTCAGTTGTGTTACGTTTGTCAGGTCTGTTTAGTCTCCTGTAATGTGAAACAGTCTCTCAGCCTTTCTCTGTCTCTCAGAACATGGACTTTTTTGAAGAGTTCAGGCCAGTCTTGCAGCATGTCTCTCAATTTGGACTTGTCTAATGTTTCCTCATGATTGGATTCCAGTTATGCATTTTTGGCAGGAGCACCACAGAAATGATGTTGTGTCCTTCTCAGTGCATCATATCAGGAGGCACTTTATGTCAGTGTGGGCCCAGTGATGTCGACTTGAACCAACTGGTTAAGGTGGTGTCTGCTACGTGTGTCTACTGTAATGTTACTATTTTGCTCTACTGAATTAGTAAATAGTTTGTGGGGAGATATTTGAGACTACATAGTAGCTTGTTTCTTTTCAAAATTTCACTCACTAGTGTATATTCATTTGATGTTTCTTGCCTGTGATAGTTGCAAAATGGTGATTTTTCAGCTCCATTGTCTTTCTATAATTATTAGATGCCACTCTAATGTAAGAAAGTTTTTCCCATTTATCCACCTATTTATTATCAGTATTGACTCATGAATTTTTATCTTATTAAATAAGTTATAATCCATCAATGTCATTATTATTTCAGTGCTCAAGTTGTCCCAGGTTGTGAGTCCCTTCAAGCTGGCTCCTGATCCTTTGGAAATGCCCAATCATTCTATGATCACTTCCTTAATTTCTGGCATAACAAAATATACAGGCTCATTTTTGTCATTTCCCTGCCCACCCCTAGAATCAGCTGTTTCTGCAAGGAGCCCTGGTTTCTTTTAGGAATAGTATTTAGAAACTAAGATCTGGGCACTCACTGTGCTCATAGCTAATGGAGTGTTACTGCTTCTAGGTCCTCTCAGCAGAAAGATGTATGATAGCTAGGTCTATGAGGAAATACATGTGCATATACACACGTGTACGTACACACACGGATAATCACACACATCAATGTCCACATGTCTCTGTCTCCTTATCTATATATATATATATTGAAAATCATGAGTTTGTACTGATACCTCTAATTCCAATCCAATACCACAAGATTCTTCCTAGTTCTTTTGAATTCAATCTCTGTATCTACCTCTTCTAACAGTAAAAATCATAGCTCCCAACATCACCTGTGTATTTGCTCATTTGTTCAGTCCTGCAGTATATGAACAGTAATTTCAGAATTGCTATACCCATGCATCTGTGAAAAATATGCCTAGTGAGTTGAATTCCGGATTGTTTGCAGTTGTTTTCACCCTTGAGGGTATATGGTGCAAGTTCTCATGCAGATAGTTGTAATCAGATGGTGCTATATAATATGAATTATAAATAGTGAGGAATGAAAAGTTTAAGTTAGTATT